ATCTTCAAATCAAGGGCTTTTTTGTTCTAGACGGATCGAAGGCTTCACGATGGGGAGTTTGAATCTAGGTTTCGCGTCTTCAAAACCAGGTTTTGATTCCTTTGCTTGTGATAATAGTTGGTTATTTGATTGATATTCCGTGTCATAGTACTTGGTTCCGATTTCTCACTTGTTTTTAATTTGTTTGCTGTGAAACCTGAGTCGGGTTGGATAATAGGTTGGGCAGTCAATTCGCAGGGGGAATGCCTACTAGTGGTGGAGGCGGAATTGAAGGTTGAATTCGTAGGGGGAATGGGTAGCTGGTGGTGGAGTTGGTAGAATTTCTGGGCAAGGCTGTGTCTGTGTCTTGCTATGTTGGTAGAATTGCTAGAATGGTGATGGAGTTGGAATTGATAGAGTGGTGATGTTGCCTGTGTCTGTGTCTATGTTCAGCTCGAAGAGAACAAATGTGTCACGGTCGGAACTTCAGCTTGATCCTCACCGCAACTGCAGCTCAGAAAAAGGTGATTTCTAGCTGGAATTGTAACCAAATAAAGGAAGAAAAATAGAATGGGAAGGGATTAAATGATGTAAAATAAAGAAGAAGGAGATGAGAGAATCTGTTGAACGATTTCAACAATTCACTGAAAATATCAGATTACACAAATCACAGAGCTCTCTTTGCACATGGGTCACAGATATATATAATAAATCAACACCCTAGAATTAATGGGCTTTGGGCTAGCCCACTAATAATACAAATCCAAATACATAAAATAAAAGGCCCAAACCATGACAGCTTCTTCATTCAACTTCTGGTAATTCTGTTGGCTGCCTTCTTCCTTCTTCACCTGCCGTCTGGATCTATTTTTCCTTGAGCCCCTTTCTTCCACATTGAGCTCCCTCATGACAACCCTCACCCTCACTTTGATCTTGTCCCCAAGATCTACTAAGGGAAAATTCATGTTTAACCAAATCAGCGTCCTTTGGAAGTTTATCAGACCAATGAATGAGCCATTGGTCAACGAACGCTTCTTACACTTCACCCAACAAGATTCCAAAATGGAGAGAGGGTAACGATCTGGTTGTAAAGGATGTTTTCCCCCTGATAGTTGGAGTACTGGCATAGCATTATGTCCAAGTTTCTTCTTCAACACTGTCACATGGAAAATTGGATGAATTTTTGAACCTTCAGGTAGTGCCAACTGATATACTACAGCTCCAATTTTCTTGATGATTTGATAAGGGCCAAAGTATCTGGCATTGAGTTTATGGTTACGCCTGGGTTCTACTGATTGCTGAGTGCAAGGGTGCAGCTTATGAAACACCAAATCCCCTTCTCCAAAAGAACTCTCTGATCTTTTCTTATCTGCATATCGCTTCATCCGTGCTCTTGCCGGTCTGCTCTTAAATGGTTGGGACTTTTCTTTAAGGGAAATATGGTGATCATGTGACTTGGGTAATAGAATGTCTTTTCGTTCGTCAAACACTTGTGGGAATTGGCTAATAACCTCCAGTACCCTGCTAGATGTTTCTCCCACTTCCTTCTGTCTGACGGAGTACAATTTTCTAACCATTCCGTGTGAACTCCTGCTAAATAGTCTTCCTATCTTTCCCATTTCCATTATTTGAACAAAGTGCTCTGACTTTTCACTCTTCAACTCTACCTCTCCATTCTTGCCCTTGAATTTAACATACCCTTGTGTAAAATCAAATAGAACTGGACCAAATTGGCTCATCCAACTCACTCCCAACACCATATCCGTCCCTGCAAGCTTAAGTGTCCTTAGCTTGAACTGAAATTCCCATTCCTGTATCCTCCACACTAATGGTTGACATATAGCCTTGCTTTCTAGTTTGTCACCATTAGCTACCCCGACTGTTATAATATTGGCTTCATCAGTAGCATAATTCAATTCCCTGACTAGCTTTTCATCTACAAAGCTCTGAGTACTTCCACTGTCAATTAGTATAGATATATTGCTCCCTTTAATTCAATCCAGTGGCATGTGTTTTGTTGGGAAGGATTTGATAGAACGGGGAGTCTAGTCCTACAAAGATTTCTGTATGTGTTTATTTCTTGTTGATTGAGCTCTATTTTGATGCACAGATGGAGAGCATGGCATTTTTCCACGCTGAACTTGGTTTGATGAACTGCTCAACCATCATCCAGTATTGCCCCTCAAAGCTTGCTACAGCAGCAGTCTATGCAGCCCGATGCACTCTTAACAAGACTCCCCTTTGGAATGAAACTCTTAACCACCATACAGGCTACAGCGAAGATCAGCTCATGTATGTATATACTCTGTCCTTAATCCTACCAGTGTATTTCTAATATGCTCGACTGGACAATACTAATTGCATGACTTTGTATACAGGGAGTGCGCAAAACTCTTGGTCCAATTCCACTCTGGGGCAGCAGAAAAAAAGCTCAAGGCAGTTTCGCGAAAATATTCAAATCCTGATAGGGCTGCTGTTGCTCTTTTTCCACCAGCAAGAAATCTAATTCTAGCTTGAGCTCTCAAACCGTGAATTTTGGTGGTTATTTGTTCTAAGATCATTTTTACTGTCATGATCTCTCTCTGACACTATCATTTTATTGTTTTATTGGTGGTCAGTTTTATCAGTTCGTAGGAATTGTTCCAAGTAGTTTTGATTTACTTCCAGTAAAATCAGTGATGTATTGTAACTACAAAAACACCATTTATTAATTCAGTTACAGTGTGGTTATTGTGGAATCTCCCCGTTCATGAAATTTGGTGTCATCTTTCTTTTCAGTTCTTTGCTGTCTCTTTCCAATTCCAAGTGCAGTGCTACAGTTTCTTAGCAGGGAGTTAATTTTAGTGGCTTCTTTCAATGCTTCGCCCATTCACAATCATGATAATTTCCTTTGAGGCTAAACGAATTGCCAAATGGAGTCGAAGTCGAAATTTTATTTTGCAATCAAGCAATTGAATTAAAACCAATCTAGCCAATCATTCTTTTAAAACTCTTGTTGAAAATGGGAGTGAACATTAAATGGATTTGAAATAATGGTTGTTAAACATGGGTTACATTTTAACTACATACTCTAAAAATTTAAGTTGTTTTTTTTAATATATGGAA